CAAGGCGAATCTCAAGAATCGTCTGTGACGGGGGGCTATCTGGATGTGAAAGTAAGCGTCTTTCAGGTCCAGCGAAAAGAACCAGTCCCTTGGGCATACTTGCGAGAGGATCTGTTTCAATGTAATCATCCTGAACGGCCATCTCATGAGGGCGCAATTCAGACACCTGAGATCGAGAATGGGCCTTAGGCCGCCATCCTTCTTGGGGACGAGGAAGTAACGGCTGTAGAAGCCTGACTCGCTCTCGGCTGGGGGAACCGTTTCTACGGCTCCTTTGCCAGCAAATTCATCACCTCGGCGCGCAGGATGTGTGCATCCTCGCTCTGAACTGAGGTGGAGACCACGCCGCTGAAACACGGGGGTCTTTGAGCGAATTGGAGTGTATAACCTCGTTTTATTATCCCCATGACCCAGCTTGACACTCAGGGGATGGCCTGCCTGGCTCGAGCGGTGGGCCGCCTAGGGGGGACCTGACGCTCGCAATGAGTGGAAGAGGAAATTTGCTCTCTTTTTTAAAATGTGTGTTTTATTTTTCCCGCTATAACAGCGGTTGGTTGTGTGGATGCGATTAGAATGGGCCCCATGTTCACAACAGTATTTTTGGTCACAAACACACTGCCATGGGCACCCGGAACTGAGCGGGGTGCTTGGAGGCATAACAGAGGCGTTTTGGGGGGTGGTCCGGCTGCAGCGAGACTTGGCCCCCTCCACTTCCTGTCCCGCAGATCAGGATGACGCCTGAGGCGCAGGGTCCAACGCTATCTTGGATCGGGGGCCCTGGCGTTTAGGAAACTGGTGGCATCTGGCCGAGCGGGAGCACTGGTGAGGCTCGGGCTTAGGAGCCGTGGGAGCAATTGGTGGCGCGGGCTTCGCGGGGTGCTAAGTCGGCACATTTTTGGGGTGACTAGAAGCAGCCGTTGAACTAGAGCGCTTTGGCAGGAAGTGTCGCATTGCTTGGGACGACTTCTGTGCAGCAGTAAAGCGTTCAGCGAAGCCTTCAACTGCAGGTCCACACAGGCCAGTAGGGGAAACCGGGGAGTCGAGGAAGGGGACCTTATCCGCATCCTTGATCTCCGTCAGGTTTAGCCATAGATGGCACTCAAGCACCACTAGGCTGGCCATGGATCTGCCAATCGCCTGCGCTGTCATCTTGGTTGTGTGTAGAGCCAGGTCGGTCGCACTGCGCAGCTCCTTAAAAGCTGCGGGGTCTGGGCCGGACTCGTCCATGCAACGGAGGAGCTTGGCCTGGAAGACTTGTAAGACCGCCATAGAAGAAAGCGGGAGGGCGCGAGGGGCTGAGTCGCTCTCTGAAAAGAAAGCTTTCCGCGAGCGCATAGAGGTGAGACTCATATCCTCGCAATGAGAACATTACATCTCAATGAGTGCTGCTTCAGCGTGGACGGCACCCAAGCATGAAACACTGTAGCGTCTGGACCAATCAAAAACACGCCATCCTTCTTGGGGACGAGGAAGTAATGGCTGTAGAAGCCTGACTCGCTCTCGGAGGCATAACAGAGGCGTTTTGGGGGGTGGTCCGGCTGCAGCGAGACTTGGACCCCTCCTCTTCCTGTCCCGCAGATCAGGATGATGCCTGAGGCGCAGGGTTCAACACTATCTTGGGTCGGGGGCCCTGGTGTTTAGGAAACTGGCGTTTAGGTGTTTAGGTGGCGTCTGGCCGAGCGGGAGCGCTGGCGAGGCTCGGGCTTAGGAGCCGTGGGAGCAACTGGTGGCGTGGGCTTCGCGGGATGCTGAGTCAGCACATTTTTGGGGCGACTAGAAGCAGCCGTTGAGCTGGAACGCTTTGGCAGGAAGTGTCACATTGCTTGGGACGACTTCTGTGCAGAGGTAAAGCATTCAGCGAAGCCCTCAACTGCAGGTCCAAACAGGCCAGTAGGGGAAACCGGGGAGTCGAGGAAGGGGACCTTATCCGCATCCTTGATCTCCGTCAGGTTTAGCCATAGATGGCACTCCAGCACCACTAGGCTGGCCATGGATCTGCCAATCGCCTGCGCTGTCATCTTGGTTGTGTGTAGAGCCAGGTCGGTCGCACTGCGCAGCTCCTTAAAAGCTGCGGGGCTGCAGAACTGGAGCGCTTTGGCAGGAAGTGTCGCATTGCTTGGGACGACTTCTGTGCAGCAGTAAAGCGTTCAGCGAAGCCTTCAACTGCAGGTCCACACAGGCCAGTAGGGGAAACCGGGGAGTCGAGGAAGGGGACCTTATCCGCATCCTTTATCTCCGTCAGGTTTAGCCATAGATGGCGCTCCAGCACCACTAGGCTGGCCATGGATCTGCCAATCACCTGCGCTGTCATCTTGGTGGCGCGTAGAGGCAGGTCGGTCGCACTTCGCAGCTCCTTAAAAGCCGCGGGGTCTGGGCCGGACTCGTCCATGCAACGGAGGAGCTTGGCCTGGAAGACTTGTAAGACCGCCATAGAAGAAAGCGGGAGGGCGCGAGGGGCTGAGTCGCTCTCTGAAAAGAAAGCTTTCCGCGAGCGCATAGAGGTGAGACTCATATCCTCGCAATGAGAACATTACATCTCAATGAGTGCTGCTTCAGCGTGGACGGCACCCAAGCATGAAACACTGTAGCGTCTGGACCAATCAAAAACACAATTTTTCATTTGATTTAACAAATCAGTTATTCATTAGATTAAC